AGGTAATGGAACTATTGAATAACCCAGATTTTTAGCCAATATATATATATATATCTCCAGAGATTTTAGCCAATATATTTCAATAAATGAAAATGGTAATAATATCATCACCTTTTGTATTGAATCATTTAAATTATTGGGAATTTTAGTTAAAACACTTGTCACTAAATGCATCCAGAAAAGACTTAAAAATCAAATTTTAAATATAAAAAATTATATCTATACGTACATATATACACACAAACACTCATCCTGAACATGTTGGCAGTCTGTGATTTAGAAGAAGTGATGGACATTAGTAGTCCCCAAAAGAAAGCTTGAGAACCTGATGGTTAACACATAATGTAGTTGGGAGTTGTTTCCAACAGCAAAATTCCATCAGCATGTTTGATTCATCAGTAATTATATATTCCTTCCAAAATTAAATTTCCTAAATCACTGCTAAACCATTCGATTATGAGTTGTCTACCCGAATAGCAATGGTAACAGTCTCCTCTCATTCTGTATTCTACATTGACATATAAAAGTGAAAAAAATAACGAGTACCATATATATAAATAAAAAATAAATAAAAAATAAAAAGAGCATCTAAGAAACAACCTGAAACGGTGACAAACAATGGTTTATAATGCACAAAAGTAAATGTCAAATGGTACACCACAGCAATGGATAAATTCAGACAAAATTTTGAAATACTAATAAGGTTGTAACAAGAAACAAATACAATTGAGACAACTACAGGTCAAGTGCCATGTAAAGACCACAAAAATGTTATGCTTCGGTAAGTAACTCAAGCACATTACCTCTCAGCTGTAACATCTGTTGCAGACACTGAATTGGAGATAATTAAAAAAAAAAAAACCCTAAAATGGAGCATCTGAATGCCCAAATGCCAATTGGGCTAATGAATTTATATATGTGTGTGTGTAAAATTGGGCTAGATTTGTATACATGGGGTTGTTTTAATATAATAATTTATACTAGTATTATATATATTTATTTATTTATTTATGTAAATGAGCCTGCTCACGAGCCGAACTTACCATTGTTCAAGTTCGGCTCGTTTACTAAACAAGCCTAAAAATTGAGCTCAAACTCGGCTCATTTACTAAACGAACGAGTCCAAAGCGAGCTTTTAGCGAGCCGAGCCTGAACTATTCATGAACGGCTCGGTTCATTTACAGTCCTATTTGTAACCAAAAAAATAATAATATTACTATATTTTTATGCTATATATACTTATCATATATTTTTACCTACGTGCCACGGGTTTTTTCTTAGTATATAAAATTGTAATGTAAACACTCATTAATAAAACTCCAATACTGTATTAATATCATATTCGTTCTTATCACGTTTCAATTTTACAAATTATAGATTACATATATGCAAGCTTACTGATAAATTCTTAATTTAATAATTCAATTTTATTTTTTGTCCTTTAATTTTTTTTAGATGTCAAATATTTTCAATCCACCTATTTCTATATTTAAAAATAACAAATTGGTCAGACCAAACTACTGGACGGAAATACAAATTGGCACATTGTGATTGTACTCAATGCACAAGAGTACAACTCCAAGAGTGCCCATGTTTAATAAATTTCATTACTGTAATTAGGCAACTTATCTTTGGTTAAGAACACAATTTGTGAACCAAAATTAATATTTTTATTATTTTTACTTATTTGCTTATAATTTAAATCTAAAATTAATTAAATGTATACACCATTTTGATCATATTGCTATTGTGTGGTAGTTATCAATAGCATGAGTACTTATTTGTTTAGATTACACAATTGTCATTGATTGGAATGAAAGAAGTTGTGAAAATCTTCGTAACTCAGCGATTGAGTTACTTATTCGTTATCTTTGAAAATTTTACACCTTAAACTTCTAATCTAATATTTTTGTCTTAAAAATAAATAATAATAAAGAAATGAAAGAAATTATAAACCATGTTATCAAAAGTACCCTTATTATTTCATGATTATGAGAGTTTAAATCAACCATTAATCATGACAATTGCATGATTATAAGGGTTTATAAATTGTTAATGAAATAGGAGCACACAAATAATTTATGTACTCCTTTATTATTTGATAATGTAAATCATTTGAGAATTGAATGCATGCAATTTATGAGTATACTGAATAAATTAAGTATATAACATCATATGAAAAATGATCAATGTCTAGGACAATACCTTTCTTTTGGCTGCCAAATTGATTTCGCATAAAGAAAGGTATTATTAATATAATTAAAACAAAATTGACAATATTTGTAATCTATCATTTATAATTTAGTGGATAGTTGTTACAAGGGGAGGCTTATTCCACTTGAATTCAGATGCGAAGTGAAATGGGTATAGATGAGTAAGTATGCAGTGTTACCTAATAGTTTAAGATTTTGATTAAATGGACAAGCACTTACCCGTTACAATTAATACTAAAGTCAGACCCAATCCTTAATCCCGAATGGTCCGATCGCAATAAGGCCGTTGCGAGTTCGGATGGAAAACAATGTTACAAAACTTGTCCACATCGGATTCAAATAGAAACTAAAATTGATAGGTATACAATACTACTCAATAGTTTAAATTTTTGAATAAATTAACAAGTGTCCACCCATTATAATAGACTAATAATATGTTTTAGTATAGTTGTTAAGTACCGATCAATATTTTTCATTGATATAATTAAGGCTAATTTTATTTGTTTAAAATAAGCATTTACAGACATTAATTTTTTTTAATAAGCATCTCAAATGACTTAAACATTATTCTTCTTCCCATATTTTAAGTACTTAACTGTACTTCAAGGCAAGCAAGTTATTTGCATCTAAACCATTGTCATTATCAACCGTATCAATATGACATTATTGTATTTAATTGATTAGTAATAATTAATCTAATATGGATAATAACCAAAAAATTTATCATACTAATGAAGTTGTTCATTCAGTCCATAATATATATACACATATATAAATAAGATAAGATAGCAAGTCAAATGTAAGGGTATAGTTTGACACAAGAATGGGCAAAATGATAATTTTCCAAAGTAACGAGAGGCGTTAGCTGTTACTGTAACAATTTGTCTCTATATATATAGGCAAAGCGCAAAAAGACGGGTGATGTTGTACGGAATGCTTACCTTACACACGAGTGAGAGAAACTTGGCTCGAGCCGCTGAAACATGAGCCTTAACACACACATGTATGGATGATTCTGGAATTTAATAGTAGCTATTAAATTAAGGCATGGATTTTATATTTAAAGAAAGGAAAAAAAAACAATCTAAAATTGGATTTTTTAAAAATAAAGTAAGAAACACTATTCCTATGATTTACAGACAATAATTTATTACGTTGGTTTACACGATAATGCATGGTATTTCATATAATGTAAAAATTGATTGAATATCCAATTATGCATGAAATTTCAAATGAGTCGAGATTGTCTGTAATTAATTAAAATTAACCTTTCAAAGTCCTAGATTCGATTTAAATAATCAATTAGATTTAAATGGAAGTTGATTACAAAATCTACATCTATTTCGTCCTAGTCAGATTTATCATGTGTACAAACATTTGTATATACTGAGAGAATGCTCAATGACAAGCAAAGATGAGGACGGTGAAAAATGTGAATTCTTGATAAAACGAACTAATTAATCTTCATAGCATGTGTGTGCGCACGCCATGGGGAGTTACAGAAAGAGGTCATTCTAGAAGTTTGCTTTTAAAATTACAAATATAAGTTGAATGTAAATAAATAAATATATATATATAGACACACTACTATTACTTTTTAAATTACAAATATCTTAGGTTGAATATTACCAAGTTAGACCGGGATATTCAACTCAAACCTGGCCTACTATTTGGACAGAATAATTAATTTGATCTATAATTTTTTATGGGTGATGTGCTCAAAATAGAAAGAATTATTTGTAGTATCAATACATTATTAATAGGAGTAGTCCCCAATTAATATATTGACACTACAAACATATCCAACCGACTTCCAAAGTTCTTCAAAGCTGGAGTATTATTAAAAAAATAAGTTGTACTACATTAATTACTATAGTAATTCTAACAATCATATTCATGATTTTTATTTTTTTTTTGTCATTCAAAGGCTCAAAGGCCTAAAGCAAAGATGGTCCATGATTGAAGAACCTTGTAAGTTGATGAAAGTTGCAACTTCCATACTTACCTTATATATACATATATATATATATATAAATTGTAGTGTATATTTATTTTTTTCTGTAAGTCCTTGTCCAATTAATATGAAATTGAAGAAAAAAAAACATCAAACACATTGTAGGGTACCACAGTAATTTCACTGTGGAAAGGGAAAGACGAAAAGATGTGGACAAGTTTAAAAAAGAAGAAAAGAAAGGACAAAATTGGAACTGAAAAGGAGGAAAGTGGGTTAACACGTGATCGGGGGAAGTGGTGACAATTTGGTCCGGTTTTTGGGTGCCAGCAGAGGACAGCCACAAACCGGATATTTGTCTCTCTCTCACCTTACTTACGCTCTCTCTCTAAGTGGCAGAATCAGGCCCACCTTTTACAACTAAAATTGGGAATTTTCGAGGCAACAAATTGGTTGAGATGCTTTATCCATTAGGTTATATTACATATATATAATTTTTGATACGCCAGATTTGCATTGAATGGTAAATTTTGCATGTTAAATTTCATATTCATTTAAAACTCTGACTTTGTTTCAGCAACAGAACTACAAGCCCAAAACAATGGAATACCATCTTTTTCAGTCTAATAAACACTAACATGTACACATTCATGTACATATAACAGTCTCATAAAAAAAAATCTTATTTTTGTTAAGCAATTTCAGTGGACTAGAAAAACAACCCCAGTTTCAGTCTAATAGTTGTAACAGTCACGTGAATACATAAATATATATATATATATATATATACACTCACATATACGTATAGATAATTCATTACTGTAAAAGAGAGAAAATTAGAAGTTAAAGAGGGATTAGACGATTCATTAAAATATATAAAAGAAAACATAATTGTCCATCAACCTACACAACAGTAGGCAACATAGGAGCAGAGGACGAAAACCCAGAACAAAACAGAAAAACTAATGGATAACATTAACAAACCCAAAACAAAAATAAAAAAAAACTTATAAGAAAGAAGAACATCAACCCAAATATAAGACTGCAAACCCAACAACAAAGGAGAACTCAATCATCATCGGAATCATCAGGTGGAGTATCAGTAGGTGGAGATTCAGGGGCTTTCGGTTTTACATTTCCATTTCCATATCCATTTGCGGCATTTCCATTGCCTAGAGACTTCCCATTGCCGTTCGGAGCTGTTTTTCCATCTTAGCTTTGCCATTAGATCCATTCTCCTTTTTGTAAATCGAAGATACTTTGACACCAAGAGATTCCTTCAGAGCTTTCTGGTCAGCGACCACCTGATTCAGAACAGTTTCAAGTGTGTTAGCAACACCAAGAATTCTGTCTTAAGGTTATATATATATATAGACAGACACACACAACACCAAGAATTCTGTCTTCTACTTGAGGATGAGAATATACCATTCCAGTTTTGTGTATAGACAGAGTGAAAACTCATGATATATCTGCTCATCATCAGCCGAACAAGAGCATGTTCATCAAATGAGACCTCGAGACCAAGAATTTCACATCCCCTATAATAACAGTACAAGGAAGAATGCAAAATTAACAACAATAATTCAACCCATCACTTGCAATTAATTAAATTAAGTCTTAAATATATTCACAACTAAAATCTCAAATTGAGTACCAAACACATGCAACTGAGTAATCCTAAGGCAAAGGGTTGAGTTTAGCCAAACCTTATTTTTCGCACTATTACTTAAAAATGGAAAAAATTGGATTCAATTGCAAAGTATCTTCGATTCACAAGAAGGAGAATGGATCCAATGGCAAAGCTCAGGGCGATGAACGACAATGGGAAGTCTCCAGGCAATGGAAAAGCTGCAAATGGAAATGGAAAAACTGAAAGCCCCTGAATCTCCACCTACTGATACTCCACCTGATGATTCTAATGACGATTGAGTTCTCCTTAGTTGCTGGGTTTTGCAGTCTTCCTCATATTTGGGTTTATGTTCTGCTCTTAAGTTTCCTACTGTAGTGTATGTTGATGGAGTAAAAAGAGTAAGAGAGAGAGAGGAGAGAGATACAGATCTAGGGTTTTCAAGTGTACACAACCATAGAAATAGGGGAGTTCATTTAATATATAGAAAAGCAAAATTGCTTTATAGTAAATCTAAATCGTCCATTTAGGAGAAACTTCTAGAATAGAAGATATTGGCCGTTTAAAAGAATACCACATAAGCTTCTAGATCTCAACCGTTGAATAACATGGTAAAAAAGAAAAAAATTCAGCCATTAGTTTTTCAATATAAAACATTCACACAGTTGAATGCTTACCATCACCCTTTTTATATACTGTCTATATTCTATGCTAGAAGTCTATTTCAATGTTTGTGAGTCAAAATTTTTAAAATTAATAATTAATATAGGACGGAAGAAGTACATAATATATATATATATATATATATATATATATATATATATATAGTCAATTATACCATTTTAGTTGATTCTAACATCTTTGAACACTAGTCTCAACATATTAGTGTCTTTTGATTTTGCGTCGGTGGGAAAAGTGGGGGAAGATGATGGCTGGTATAGAAAGTAGGGTTGACAAAGAGTGCTATTAAAACAGATTCGTCTTGTGTATATATTATTGTGAATTGACATATCACAAATACAGTAATACCATACTCTTCTTTCTTCTTGTGTCAGAAAACAAGACCAAACAGGTACACTTGTGTTTCCAAAAAAAATTAAAAAAAAAGGAACCAATTATGAAAAAGATCAAATGAAATTTTGAGACTATTAACTCTTTCTTTGGTAACTAATCACTATATATATATATATATATATATATATAGTCAATTATACAATTTTAGTTGTCTGATTCTAATATATCTGAATACCAGTTTAAAGCTGATCTCCTTCTTTAGTTAATGCCAAAAAATGGAGATATAGTTATCCCAGATTTCTACCATTTGTGACAAACAAGTCGATTCTTATAAAGTGAAAAAGAAAAACAATTTATGGTAATAGAATAAAAACAAAAAGTATTCTTCTTCATGAGCCCTCTCTCTCTCTTTTCTACATTAGCTTGCTCTCTCTCCCTCTCTTTTTCTCAAATGGAAAGTTGAATATAGCTCCTCTGTGCATATATATATATATATATATATATATATATATATATATATATAAAATATATGATAATAGAATATATGGTATTTTTTATAATTTATATTTGATTTTAATTTGTTATTATTTTTAATTAATATGTATCTTCTGAACCGTTGCTTCATTTTTTAACTTAATTTATAAAGAATATTGTTTTTTGTTTTGGAAGAAATAAAACTTGAGAGAGGAGTTTTGGTGCGAATGATTTCTGGTCAAGTCTCCAGTAAGTCATGGCTTTTTTTATTTATTTATTTATTTTTCTTTGCAAATATATAGATGGAATTTTGACACCGTGCCACAACGTCACTAATGTCTGATTTTAGTAAAATAAAAAAAATAAATTTTGGTCATCAATGGCTAAGATGTATTAGATTTATATCCAATGGCTCTCTATCTAAAATGTATTAGCTAAAAGGGTGATAGTAAACATTCAACGGTGTGGATGTTTTATATTGAAAACTTAACAGCTGGATTTATTTATTTTTACCATGTTATTCAACGGTTTGGATCTAGAAGCTTCTGTATAATAGAAAAAACATGTTTTTTAACGACTGATATATTCTATTCCAGAAATTTCTTCTAATTGACGGTTCAAATTTATTAGAGAGCAATTTTGCTTTTCTATATATTAAATCAACTCCATTATTTCTATATTTGTGTAAATCCAAAACTCGATATCTATATCTCTCTCCTCTCTCTCTTACTCTCCTCACTCCTAAGCAAATATATATCTCTTACTGCTTCAGTCGTTTAATGTTTGTTTTGATTAATTGTCTATTTTTTTTTCTTTTTCCTTTTTTTTCTCTACTTGAGTGTTGAATTGGGGCTCCAAAAAACTCGATCTTTTACGACTCAACTTATTGAACCAAAGAATCTAATATAAAAATCATTTTTAATTAGTTTTCATTTTAATTTTGAATTCAAATCTAAAGAGGTTGAATATGGATCTAATTTGTTAGAAAATTCCATAGAGTATAGCTACACCATGTGGTTCAATTTCACTAACTTGTTTCCATTTGTTCGTCTATGTATTTTGGCCATAACAAAAGCATGTTTGGCTCTTATCAAGGAAATAACCTCTTTAATCTCTCACCTGCCTCTTCGTTACAATAATGATACCACTGTCAAACTTTCATTGAGCTATAGCTGTACTGTGTGGTCACTAGACTATGAGTATCATGTACTGGTTCACGCATATAAGAGCTATTTTGCCAAGTGAGAGAGAGCTCTTTTCTCACACACACAGCCCTTACACCGATTTGTTTATTTTACTGAGAGCGTAGCCTTACAATGGTCCCAACCCCTATATCAGCTCTCTCTCTCTCTCTCTCTCTATATATATATATATGCACATTTGCCATTCTCTCTCATTTCTTTCTCACTTTTTTAAGGCATTCCACTATTTTCAAACCCTAGATTTTTTTACTCCACACCCTCCCTTCCAATCTTTTCTCTCTCTAAAAGTACAAATTGTCCCTTTGTTTTTCTTTTACTGAAGAGTTAAAAATGCTTGCTGCGTGGCATCAGAAAATCACGTGCCTCTTAATTAAGTACCGATCAATATTTTTCATTGATATAATTAAAGCTAATTTTATTTGTTTAAAATAAGCATTTACAGACATTAATTTTTTTTAATAAGCATCTCAAATGACTTAAACATTATTCTTCTTCCCATATTTTAAGTACTTAACTGTACTTCAAGGCCAGCAAGTTATTTGCATCTGAACCATTGTCATTATCAACAGTATCAATATGACATTATTGTATTTAATTGATTAGTAATAATTAATCTAATATGGATAATAACCAAAAATTTTATCATACTAACAAATTTGTTCGTTCAGTCCATAATATATAACACATATATAAATAAGATAAGATAGCAAGTCAAATGTAAATAAGGGTATAGTTTGACACAAGAATGGGCTAAATGGTAATTTTCAAAAGTAATGAGAGGTGTTAGCCGTTACTGTAACAATTTGTCTCTCAATATATAGGCAGAGCGCAAAAAGACGGGTGATGTTGTACGGAACGCTTACCCTACATACGAGTGAGAGAAATTTGGCTCGACCCGCTGAAACATTAGCCTTAACACACACATATATGGATGATTCTGGAATTTAATAGTAGCTATTAAATTAAGGCATGGATTGCATATTTAAAGAAAGGAAAAAAAAAAAATCTGAAATTGGATTTTTTTAAAATAAAGTAAGAAACACTATTCCTATGATTTACAGACAATAATTTATTACGTTGGTTTACACGATAATGCATGGTATTTCATATAATGTAAAAATTGATTGAATATCCAATTATGTATGAAATTTCAAAGGAATCCAGATTGTCTGTAATTAATTAAAATTAACCTTTCAAAGTCCTAGATTCGATTTAAATAATCAATTAGATTTAAATGAACGTTGATTACAAAATCTACATCTATATCGTCCTAGTCAGATTTATCATGTGTACAAACATTTGTATATACTGAGAGAATGCCCAATGACAAAAGCATAGATGAGGATGGTGCAAAATGTGAATTCTTGATAAAACGAACTAATTAATCTTCATAGCATGTGTGTGTGTGCACGCACGGGGAGTTACAGAAATTCTATAAGTTTGCTTTTAAAAATACAAATATAAGTTGAATGTAAATAAATAAATATATATATGTGTATATATATATATAGACACACTACTATTACTTTTTTAATTACAAATATCTTAGGTTGAATATTACCAAGTTAGACTGGGATATTCAACTCAAACCTGGCCTACTATTTGGACAGAATAATTAATTTGATCTATAATTTTTGATGGGTGATGTGCTCAAAATAGAAAGAATTACAGTAACTTTTATATTTGTAGTATCAATACATTATTAATAGGAGTAGTCCCCAATTAATATATTGACACTACAAACATATCCAACCGACTTCCAAAGTTCTTCAAAGCTGGAGTATTATTAAAAAAAATAAGTTGTACTACATTAATTAATATAGTAATTCTAAAAATCATTTTTTTTTTTTTTTTTTTTTTTTTTTTTTTTTTGTCGTTCAAAGGCTCAAAGGCCTAAAGTCAAGATGGTCCATGATTGAAGAACCTTATAAGTTGATGAAAGTTGCAACTTCCATAGTTACCTTATATATATATATATATATATAAAGTGTAGTGTATATTTTTCTCTAAGTCCTTGTCCAATTAATATGAAATTAAAGAAAAAAAAACATAAAACACATTGTAGGGTACCACAGTAATTTCACTGTGGAAAGGGAAAGATAAAAAATGTGGAAAAGTTTTAAAAAGAAGAAAAGAAAGGACAAAATGGGAACTGAAAAGGAGGAAGGTGGGGTTAACACGTGATCGGGGGAAGTGGTGACAATTTGGTCCGGTTTTTGGGTGCCAGCAGAGGACAGCCACAAACCGGATATTTGTATCTCTCTCACCTTACTTTCTCTCTCTAAGTAGTAGAATCAGGCCACCTTTTGCATTGAATGGTAAATTTTCCATGTTAAATTTCATATTCATTTAAAACTTTGATTTTGTTTCAGCAACAGAACTACAAGCCCAAAACAATGGAATACCATCTTTTTCAGTCTAATAAACAGTAACATGTACACATTCATGTTCATATAACAGTCTCATTAAAAAATAATAATAATTTTGTTAAGCAATTTTAAAGGAATAGAAAAACAACCCCAGCTTCCGTCTAATAGTTGTAACAGTAATACATAAATATATATATATATATATACACACACACACATATACGTATAGATAATTCATTATTATAAAAGAGAGAAAATCATAAGTTAAATAGGGATTAGACGATTCATTAAAATATATAAAGGAAAACATAGTTAAACATCAACCTACACAACAGTAGGCAACATAGGAGCAGAGGACGAAAACCCAGAACAAAATAGAAAAACTAATGGA